GCGCGTACGCGTACGAAACGGCATCGATCCTAATTGATTCGACTACCGAACGACATTAATTAAGATCGACCGACCGACCAACCGGCAAATGGAATGCCGTGGAATTATAAGGAAAATCGTATTCCCTGCAACTGTACATCGCATGACTTCAACTCCTTCTCATCATCCTCGCAGCAGCTCTTTGATTAAAAAGCTGGGGTACTTGAACTCCTCCATCCAATGGTAATTTGCAGCAAAATCACATTGAAATATTCGACGTCTTCAAACGTCAATTTTGTATAAAATTCGGTAACGCCATCTATATTCAGGTAACGTACCAACATTTATTTTTATACTGGTACAAGCAAACTTGATTCAATTGTAATTACAACAAAATACCATTGAAACAATGACATTTTCAAACATCAAACGCATTTTCGTATACAATTTAGTAACGCCATCTATGTACAAATAAAGTACTAAAGTTTATTTTAATATAATAGCATATTTGATTCTATAGTGAAATTTGTTTAAATTTATAACTTTGGTAGTAATACTATAGTTTTATTACAGACTTTATAAATTTGATCCATTAATACAAATAATTAAATTTAATTCAAATTTGGTAAAAATTATGTATTTTTTTCTTATTTATCACAAAATTTCATCATTTTTATAAAGAACTACGTAAAAATGAAACAAAAATTATTCTATCTAGTAGAAATTTTAGTGTCGCCATCTATTAGATATATTAACAATTATAAACGTGTTTTTTCTAAGGTATAAGTTAATTTTAATAGCGCCATCTACTTACTAATATAGTTTTATTAGACTTTATAAATTTCATTCGAAAAAAAACATTGACGTTTCTCTCAAATTGATTTTTTTTATAATTTCTGAACAAAATTATGTAATTTTTATAATTTATCTCAAAATTTAAACATTTTTGTATAAAACCACGTAAAAATAATACAAAAATTATACTATCTAATTGAAATTCTAGTGGCGCCATCTACATGATAATTATGAACTATTATATAAATTTTTTTAATTGATTCTATTAAGCTCTCAATAACTGTTTAATTAAACATTGCTTAGAATACATTAACAATTTAGTAATTTAGAATTATTATGCAATAAAACAATATTATCATTGAATATTAATTTCAATTAATTAATATTTCCATGGAATTCAAACCATTTCAATAACAATTATTGTCCACTTTATTGTGCTTCTGATAAGATTCTTGGATGAAACATGTGAACTTTGCGGCTAAGTCAAAAGTCAATGAATCATAACACACATTAGATAAGTTCATAACTACTTCATTTTCTCATTAATTTCAATTCAGTTTTGAAATTAATCAATAAACAAAAATATTTAAATTAAGTATAGAAACATATTTGCATTGAATTAAGAAATTATTATGTAGTAATTAAAATAAATTAAAAAAAACAAACAAGTTTTTTTTGGCTATCGACCAATTGATTGAATTTATAAATTTTAAAGCATGAAATGAAAACGTGAATTCATTCTGATTTAAAAGAAAAAAAAATCATATACATTCATTGGAAACATTGGAGCTTCTGTTGAACTGAACGCATCTCACTGTTCGTTCGATCCAAATATTTACGTGCAGTAAAGTTCGAAAATTTCTTGTCTGTGTTTAGACGATCCAACTATTTTACAACACTCGGAAACAAACATCGTGTTTATTTGGTTTTCGGTCTCTCTTTCGGCCAGAAGATCTGTTTACATCCAAGCAAACGCTGCAGCTTTCATCATTAATTAAATCTCCATCCGAGATGCACACAGAATAAACAGCAATTGGCATATTGTAATTGTTTTATTATTGTCCAGATAAGTGCTCTTCATCACAAAAGAAATTGACTGCATAAATACTTTCATCAGAAGAAGAGAAAAAACAACAACAACAGCAAAAAAAATGTTTTAATTATAACCGATTAATTGAGGCTGGAGCAGACGATAAACGCAATTAGTGACTTATAAATATGTGCAAGTAAATAAACAACAATATTTACTGTTTGAAGATATTGCAGTTTATAAAGATCCGTATTTAAAAAAATAAATAAATGAAATTCTTATAATTTCATATGCAAAATTGCATCAATTAAAGTTGTATCAATGAACAGTAATTATAAATTTTGTTTAATGTTCGGTTTAATGTTAATTGTTAGAGGTTGACGTGCGGTCGTTTAACGATTTCCGTTGTCGGACGTAATTTCATAAATAAGTGACAGCTGTCATAAATTAACGTTGCGCGCGCGCGTTATGGACTATTAACCTTAAAAGTTTGACAGCCATAAATTGGGCTCGCTTAAACGCCGGTTTATGGGCATCGACTTAATGAGCAAATAAATGATTTTCTTTTAGCAATTAAAAATGATGGAACAGCGAAAGGAATAAATTGCATCAGCATATTTTTAAACAGAAAAACAGATTTCAATATTCATACATTTTGACAGATGACATATGTCAACTACAATTTTATATTTTTTAGGTTACATAATGGGTTTTCAACTATTATTAAGTTATTAGGTTAACTACTTGTAAACATTTCCAGGATTGTTACGCACTTGTCAAGAAGTTAAGTAAAAGTTACTTAATGATTTTAGCAATTAAAAAGATGGAACAGCGTAAGGAATAAATTGCAATTTGTTATATAGTTCATAAATTTTGACAGGTGACATGTCAATAAATAAATTATATTTTTAGGTTACGATGTATAATGGTTCCTCGACTATTCTTAACTTATTAGGTTAGGTTAAAAGCAATAGTTGTAAAGAAGTCAAGAAGTTATGTAAAATTTACTTGGCAAGTATAGTGGTTGTGGTATAATTATAAATTTTGACAGGTGACATATGTCAACTGACATTTTATATATTTAGATTAGGTTGAAAGTATTACATCAACTACTTGTCCAATTGTTGGTAAAGTACTTGCAACTTGTTGAGCACTTATCAAGAAGTTGTGTAAAAGTTGTTCAAGTTACTTGGCGAGTAGTTGTGGTTGATTGTAACTTGTTACGTCAAGAAGTTATGTAAAAGTTACTTGGCAAGTATAGTGGCTGTGCTATAATTATAAAATTTTACAGGTGACATATGTCAATAAATAAATTATATTTTTAGGTTACGATGCATAATGGTTCCTTGACTATTCTTAACTTATTAGGTTAGGTTAAAAGCAATACTTGTAAAAAAATTCAGGATTGTAGACTTGTTACGTCAAGAAGTTATGTAAAATTTACTTGGCAAGTATAGTGGCTGTGCTATAATTATAAATTTTGACAGATGACATATATCAACTGACATTTTATATATTTAGATTAGGTTGAAAGTATTACATCAACTACTTGTCAAATTGTTGGTAAAGTACTTGCAACTTGTTGAGCACTTATCAAGAAGTTGTGTAAACGTTGTTCAAGTTACATGGCGAGTACTGTGGTTGTGAATGAGTTT